GCTCTAGTCGGGATCTAAATCGCGGTGTATCCACGGCGAGCCACCTCTCGGTTAGCTTTTTTTTTTAAACATACCAACACTAACATATATACAAGTTCATAGTGGTTTTTAGAGTGGTGACCACTTCCTCGCTACTGTAGTTACTATAGGAGATTTTGTTGCAAGCTTAGTCTCCGCTGTTGCCGCCGACTGGCCCTCCTCCCGTTACCTGCCCCTCGGGAACACAGCATCTGGATCCGGTGGGAGGTGATAGGATTGTTTGTATGTGGGATGGCGCCACTAAGAGTGGTTCCCACTCGACGGGGAGATTGTTCTCTTGACGCCTTTGAGGGAGATCCTCCTGGTCAAAGGTGTCCACTTCCCGGTGATTGAGGACCCAATGGTGGTGGAATTACTCGTGCACCAGGCAGCGATTCTTTGGTGTCTGGAGCTTGGATTTACGAACGTCATATTTGAAGGGGATGCCAAGGTGATAATTGATAAAATCAATCGGGCAGATACCAGAGACAACCATACGGGGGGCTGTTCTTGAAGAAATTGTGGAGTATTTTGGTCCCCAATTCGAGTTTGTTGTTCGGTTTGTAGGTCGGCATAGCAATAGGGTAGCCCATTTGATAGCTAGAAAGGCTCTTTCTTTGTACCCGACTATGAGTCGTTTCTTTGATTTTCAGACCTGGCTGAATTCCAGGGTGTAACTTTCTTATGGTTTGAATCAATATATGATTATCTTTTGTAAAAAAAAAAAAAACTTAGTCCCCGCTGAGTACCAATGGATATTGATTCTAGTGACTATTAAAACTGGGAGACCCATCCAATTGCGTCCTCCATCCTCAGAGAGATCATGTGGCAGGTGCGAAATACATTGAAAGCCAGCTTCCATCCTCTTGGATTTATGAGATGGGTTTATAGGTGGCAAATGGATTGATCCATGAATTGGTGGATCCATGGATCAAATGAATTAGATCTAATGGATTGGTGGATTCATGGATTGAATGAAGTGGATCGGTGGATTATCCATCAATCAAAATGACATCCTCAACCAAGGACCAATATGTAAAATATGAAAAGTTTAGGTACTAAAATGTCATAATGAAAATTTTTAGGTACCAAAACGTAATTTTTCAATGATATTTTTCGTATAAAAAATTATATTTTGAATACCAAAATGTAAAATATAAAAAATATAGATACCAAACTATAATTTGCCATTTGGATCTATGGATCAATCCATGAACCAATCCAATTGGATTTGGATCAAATGGATTGGATTATGTGGATATTTTTAATGGGTTGATGGATTGGATTAAGAATTGCCACCTCTAGTTGCTTAAATTGTATTACTTGATTTACAATTTCTAATATGCGGTTCTTGCAATAACATTAGTTTTATTTTTTTTTGTCATGCCCTGACAATATCTAACATGAAAACAAAAACATCCTCCACATCGTACAAATTTTATTTGTGGAACCAACAATTACATCCACTGGACACCAAAACTGAGACAGAATGCGCAGGTGGACACCAAGACTGAAGAAGCGCTCATCTATAGAACTCACGAGTTACTACACCATAGAAGCGACGGGAAGAGTTGCTAAAAACAGGGGAACAGAGACTCGGCATATAGAAATTATGAGTTCGACAACAGAAACATCGCAAAAACGAAACTCGGAGGCTCCTAAAAATTATTCCATCACAGCAAAACATCCACTGGGAACTGGATAGCTACTGACGCAACTCGGGGCGGACGAAGTCTGCATCTGCAGTCACAGAAATGTCTACGGTTGGTCTTAGCTGGGCACACACTTCAACAGCTGCATGGACCGGGTCAGAGAGGAAGTTGCTGATGAGATCCCTGTTCACAGAAGCCCCAGCAGCATCCACAGCTACAAAGGCCTGCTGTGTAAGGATGTAATCAAATCGAGGGGCCCATTTTCTTGATCCCAAACGTGCCGTGGTGGAGCAGTTGTCCACCATGAAGGAAACTCCTCGAGCGTGCATGAAAGGGTTCAGTGAATCTACAGCCTCAATCAGACTTTCATTAATGATCTCAGAATAAGAATGACCCTTCTTCCTCAACACCTCAATCTGGAAATTTCAACAGAAAAACGTTAGATAAAAAAAGGGCCTTCAGGAATGCATTTGTAGGTGCTTTCAGGAAGCAAACAAAATGCCTGATTTCACAATAACAACATTGATGGACGTACCTGAGCCATCATCAATGCCACAAAAACACCAGCAGTGAAAGGATGCATTGGTCCCAAGTCTCCCCTTGGCCGTGTTGAACGCACATGCTCCCCCACCTTCCACATCCGGGTTTGATCGATCTTGCCCATTGGGAAAGCTGGGAGGCCTTCCTTTTCCTGTTAAACAGTAGGACAAGTGGAAAGATGAAGTTCACAGCAGAGCGATCATAGATATCAAGATGAAAATTTAGCAGAGCTTTTACATAGAACCGACGCCCAGCCAGAACAACGCTGCGGATTTCACTGCCACTAGCCACATCCTCATAGCACTCGTACAATATATCCATGCAAGGATAGTAAGAGGAGCTATAAGCAAGCTCAAACTCTCTCTTCTCGTCTTCGGATAAGGAGTTGTAAACTGACAACATGCCCTGCCAAACAAATACACCACAACAAAATGAAAACCAAAAAGAAGTATTGTAGTACATTAGCACAGAAAGAGACAGTTCAAGTATCTCTGGTCATATTAGAGAGAAAAAAGAGTGATACCAACCTTCGTTGAGATGGTCTTTGACACAATACCAGTTATGCACTCAACAGTGTTCTTGTAAGCCGAATCCTCATCCATACCATTTTCTGTGTATCTTCTAAACAAGCATTCAACAGCACCATGAACAGCACCAAGCAGTATACCTGCAAGGAAGCAAGAGGCAATGAGACACTTAGCAGCAAACTTTCTAGCAGCAGATTGATGCAATCAATTAAAGCGAGAAACTTACCACGCTCCCCAAAAATATCACTCTTGTACTCCTGCTCTAATGTGGTGGCGAATGTGAAAGGAGAGCCAAGAGCAACGGACCAACCCAAGGCCACATCTGTTGCTCTACCATCAACATCCTGTGGGAGACATAGAACAATAAGTCAATAAGCGACTGTTCAACAACTGAAAATACTAGGAGAAATAGATTTAAACATAAGCCATCATGAAGATGTAAAGATACCTGGTGAACAGCAAAACTGGAGTTGATACCGGCTCCATTTATGTCTTTCCCCTGCACGTAGAGTCTCCTCACAGAAGGGCCCATTCCTTTGGGGCAAACGGCAATAACACTAATATTTTTAGGGAAATCAATACCTAAGCTCTGCAGATGCCCCAAGAGAAACCCATGGGAAAGACCAAGGATGCTGTTTGGCTTCATATGAGAGAAGATCTTCTCAAAGTTATCAGCCTGCAACAAAAAAAGTTACAAGAGTGTCTTCCATCGCTCTCGCTTAACGTGCATGAACCTTAACGTATAAACATTAGAGGGCCCATGGAGAACTAACGAACCTGCGCTGAATCTGAAATCAGTAGCATGACAAGATCGCTTCCAGAGATGGTTTCCCACATGTCTCCGAGAGTTCCATCCCCTTCAGAGAACCCAGCAGCACGAGCCTCGGCAAAAGAGCGAGAACCCTTCCTCAGACCAATCTGCAAAATGGCGGCAGAAGCGCACTTCAAGCGAAAGCAACAGCTGCGAGGCTCAGAGATCAGTTAAAGCAATGAAAAGACAGCACCGACCTTCACAACAATATCAGATTTGGCCTCTGCAAGAGAATCCTTCAGGTTCTGAGCTTGCGCAGGGGCCTGAGACGATCATTTCACTTTAGTCGAAACGCCACAAAAAGAAAAGAAAAACAGGGAAGTTAATAAGCCAGCATATAACCCAATGAGAACCTGAGATCCCCATCCAATAACTCCAATCTGCTTGATACCCTTGAAAGCATCGGGCAACAGGGGAAACAAATCTCTCCCTCCTCTCACAATGTACTGCAAAAAGATATAATAAAATAGAACAACTTCAGTGACAAAATATGGACAGGGGACAATAGAAAAATCTCCAAAATCGAACGGAGGTTACTGCCCACCTCGTCATGGCCGGCGAGGGTGACCTTCTCCTTCTTGAAAACAGATGTCTGGAAATCAAGAGATGTCGTGGGAGCGACGGCAGGAGCCGACACCATGGCGACCGAAAGCGGCGATCTTGCATTGGGGCATGGCTGGGCGGCAATCCGAGAGATTAGGGGCTTCAGCGACCGAGATGAAGAGGATAGGAACCCGAGGGAGCTTGACACCGGAGCCTTGGGTTTTAGAGAAGAGGACGGCGACGAGACGGACGGAGTGAGAGCGGCGGCAGACGAGGCGGCTGTGGCAGCCATTGTGGGGAAATAGGATTGACAGTAGGTGGCGGGCTGATACAATAATGGAATGGAAGGCAGGAAATGCTGGGACTAGGGTTTACGGGGAACGGAGGGGGGTTATCAATCTCCCTGCCACATTTTTCTAATAGACACGTGGTCACCCACCAAAAACAGACAAAACACACGGAGATGGGTTATCAAGATATCGTCCGTTCTGTTTGAACTTGAAGGATTAGAACCAAAAATGGCTTAATTGCAACTTTGGTCACTCGAATTGTTATAAAATTTCACGTTTGTCACTCAAATTAATTTATTCCATTTATAGTCACTCGAATTAGTTGAACAGTTCAAGTTCGGTCACTCTCCGTTAACCTCCGTTAACTTTGACTGATGTGGCGGTCAACTCTGACAGTTGACCGTTAAATGTGTGACGTGGCAAATAAAAAATAATTAAAAAATAAAAATTAAATTTTTAGAAATTACACATCATTATCACAAAAAATTATAATTATAAAAAATGAAAAAAAAAATTATCACAAAAACTTGAACTGCCGCTCCGACCACTCTGTTTCCAGATCAGACTTCCAACGTCACCGAATTGGCCGGCAAACACATTTATTTGTATTTCCACCTCCGAACCCACAACCTCACCATTCTCGATCAAACCGCACCGCCTTGCTACGTCCCGCTCTGCCTCTTCTACCCCAACACTTCTTCTTCTTCTACGCAACAGCGCTCGCTGCTTACCGAGAGCCTCAAGGGTTCCCTCGCCAAAACCCTCAACGTCTACTACCCGCTCGCGGGCCGGTACAGAGACGCCTTCGCCGTCGACTGCAACGACGCCGGGGCCGAATTCGTCAACGCCCGTGTCGTCGCCGGCTCCATGTCTGACGTCGTCCGGTAGGCGCCGGACGACGAAGTTTTGGTGCCGCTACTTCCGTGCCGCCCGCGTGGCCGACACGTGGACTCGGAGGACGAGCTGGTGCTCCTGGCCGTCCAGGTCAGCTTTTTCGACGGCTGCGGAGGGGTGAGCATCGGGGTGTGCGTGTGGCACGAGCTCGCCGATGCCTGCACGCTCGCCTGCTTTCTCGCCACGTGGAGCGGATTCGCGATGCAATATTTCGGGGGCCGCACCGTTAGAGAAGGAGACGGTGACACCGCCGTTGTTGAGTATTGCACTGTCGTGTTTCCTCCCGCGGACCTTTCCGTACACGGCGAATGCATGGAGAGGTTTCGAGCGGCGGTGGCCACTCCCGGCACGAGAACCAAGAGGTTCGTGTTCGAAGGCGGCAAGATCGCGGCTCTCAGGCGGGGAATCGAGGAGAGCAGCTGGCGGCAGCCGCTAGTTGCGGAGCCTAAGATTTGAAATTTCTAAAAATTTATCTGTATTTCGCGAATGGTGAGGTTGTGGGTTCGGAGGTGGCAAATAAATGTGTGATAATTTCTTTTTTTCATTTTTTATAATTATAATTTTTTGTGATAATGATGTGTAATTTCTAAAAATTTAATTTATATTTTTTAATTATTTTTTATTTGCCACGTCACACATTTAACGGTCAACTGTCAGAGTTGACCGCCACGTCAGTCAAAGTTAACAGAGGTTAACAGAGAGTGACCGAACTTGAACTGTTCAACTAATTCGAGTGACTATAAATGGAATAAATTAATTTGAGTGGCAAACGTGAAATTTTATAGCAATTCGAGTGACCAACCTTGCAATTAAGCCTGACAAAAATGTAATAAACCATTTCGACTACAAAAGGAAAACGGACGGTTGGTTGAGGAAAAAAAAAAGCAAATCCTCCCTCCTCTCTCCCACGACCGGTGAGAGGGTAGGGTTTTTTGCTTTCGTGCGACAATGACGATAACCGTCTCTGTCTTCGTGGTCTGTCGAGTCTGGCACTTTCCAATCAGGACATGGATAAAAGCAAGACCAGCCTTCGCCCGCTCGGTTCTTCCCATACCTGACTTGCTGAAATTGTTTCCCCCCTCGTACATAAGGTTCCAATCGCAACTTCCTCTGCAAGTCCGAATGGCGGTCGTTCAATTCAACGATGCTGATGTTGTTGTGGGTTCCCAAAGGGTTGATCAGACTTTGATTGGTCGACCTTGTGGCCCGCTACCACCTTACCCAAGCTGCGATCGATGGTCGACAGAGTCTGGAAGTGTGATTTCTCAATCGCGATGGTGGAGTGAGGTCTTCTCCAATTTGTTCTCCCCGATCCGGAAACAACCCAACGCCTTCTCACCGGCTCTCCATGGATCTTTGAAAAGTTCCTCATCCAGGTGCGAAAATGGAAGACCCCGATGGCGGAGTTGGCGGCAGAACTAATTCGAGTTCCGCTCGTGGCGCAAAATCTGGGAGGTGTCGTACTAGTGTTGCACGGAGAAGTTGGGATCTTTGCTTGGAGCGGCCATGGGCCCAGCGGAGCCTGCAACCATACACAGATCTGTCACCTCCGGTGGCCTCTACATCAGGGCAAAGGTTACTCTAGATATCCAAAACCCTCTTTCGGATGAAGTCTCTGTCTCCTATGTGGATCCTTCCAACGGTAGCTTTATAGCCAAGGTGAAATTTAATTCCCTTCCCCAATTCTGCTTTCGGATATGCAAAGTTTTGCCCTAAAAATCTTGACACACTCGAAGGAGAAGGGAACTTACGATTGGTAAGGATAAGCCAAGATTTCCTTACATGACATGCGCTTCACAGATATAGTATAGTCTTTAAGTGCGAGGGTTGACTTTGTATGCTACTTTGATTCTCTTCCTACGATCGAAAGTCACTTATCATCGTAAAGATCTAGTGAGTTGTATGATTGTGAGTAAATTTTTATCATTTCATTATTTTCATACTTTTGACATCATAATATCCTTGATTTGCTACGTGATCAATCAAAGTGCATACTAGTAGCACTAGACTTGCTTTTATCAATTTGATGCCTTCTCGGTACTATTTCGTGTGTCTTCAAGGCATAGCAACCTAGTGGAACAATTTGGACATGGTAGTGGACATCAAAACTCGACTATTAGGAGCCATAATCAGGGAATGCAAAGAGGACAAAAATGACTCCGGAATCGGTAGCCTAATCACCAAAATGGCGCTCGGGTCGCCATTTTGAGGATCATCTAGAAGTCAGAAGAATCTTCAAGGAATCTGTTGTTCGTCGTGGCCAAGCTGGAAGATGTTGATTGGGACTCGACGACGTGTTAGATAACCATCCTCTCTCCCCCAAACTCCTAATAGAAAGTCTATCAACATACTTCAAGGAAGTAGGAGATCGGTAGCAAGTGATATGAGGCAATAAAAGGGTTGTTGCTCAGCTGACATAGTGAATCACCCAACTTAGAGCAACACCGGTTACCAAAGGAAAATCAGTGCGAGAATTGGCAGTCTGAGCCCCAAAACCTCTGTTTCGGGAGCCAATTTGGAAAGCTCAGGGAATCTCGTTTTGATATATGTATCCCTTGGATCTCGTCCCCATGTCGGCTAGTTCCTTTAGTTTCATAGGTGGGTGAACCCTAGATGTTTTAGACTTTGTAACGTTCAATTTTGTCATATATATGATGTTTTGATTCTTTTATCTTCTGCTAGTTTCTTTTGTGTTATCTATTGTCAATTTTGATTGAGAGCTTCAAGAAGCATGCATCCCTTCGAGATGTATGCTTTGGTATCCTAGTCTCATAGGGTGAAGACTGGATATGGCCGTTCTATACGATCGATTTACAATCGGTTGACATGCATGACACCTCAAGAGAGAAACCTATAGGGTCCTTGTTGCCAATCAGACGTCGGTGAGTGCCATGACACAAGATAGGAGTAGATATCACAAGGATCAAGCAACACGTATGATGCAGGTCCGACATTCGAGTCTACGGAACTCTAGGAGGAGTTCTCAATTAGTGTTCAAACTATTTACTTTTCCAATCGCTTTAGTTATAAACTATAGTTTTAACCAAAAACCAATTGCTAGATAATGTTTCAAACAATTGAAGTAGGGATACATGGGCCGACCCAGGTTTGACTTTTAAAACATACTTGCCCTATATTGCACCCGGTTAAGGTTTATACTTGGGCGTTAATCGAAATTTTTATTGTGAGATTCGGGACGAGTCACTCCCGAGCTGAAGACTAAAACCCCGACCGGGGAATTGAGAGGTTGAGTAGGGATCGGGGGCTGCTTCCGCTTATATGTTTTTCCTTTACTTTTGGGATTAGGTTCTTGAGACTTAAGAGACGGTTTTTCTATGTTACTTTGAGCCTATACTTATGTAACCTATATAAGAGGCTAGACTAATTCTTTTGAAACTAATTCTTTCTTGATCATGGAATCGATTCAGCAAGAAGGAACCCGACAATATTGTATACTTAGCCATGTTCCCTACGCGTGGAATAGGTTTGGGTTATTCTCTGTTTATGTTGATTGTGCTTCTATCATCCAAGTATTATAATTATATCGTCGAAAATTACAACTCAATTTCACTCGCTTTCATAAACAATATTGTAACAAAACGTAAAGTAACTTTGGCATTTTAAGAAAATTTTCACTTTATATAAAAAAGATTATGTATAATTATTCGGGATGGTGAAGTTGGGTTTTCTCGAACCAAACATGAGTAGATTTTGATAATGCAATTTTACATCTTGCCTAACTTTAATTTCGAATAAAGTACCAATTCAAAATCGTGGTTCGGAATGGTGTATAGAAAAAGCGGCTATACACCAACCCGCTGCCATCCTATAAATCTACCATATTTTTGCTATCTATTTTACGGGACTGCAAAAATATGACAATAACCCATAGATCAGTAAATGTGCATAACCCAACCATCAGTCGACACATTAGCACACACTCTCTCTCCGGGAAAGTATTTAATATTTTCCTTTTAATTTTTAACGGATGATTTCTCTCTTGATTTAAGTCGAAATTTAAATTTTTTTGCACAGATAAATATGATTAATTGTGCTCTTCAATTGGTATTAAAATAAGAGCATACCATATGGTATGAAAGGGTACCATGGTGGTATGAACATACCAAGACTGTAGGATGGTTGCATACATGATAGTAGGAGTATACTAACTGACATTTATGATTTTCAACATTGTGTACCACATGATACCACCCCACATACCAGGGTGGTATAGTATGATATTTTTTGATCCTGTATTTTTTTCATCCATAATTTTTTAGATCCAATAGATCATAATTAACTTGTTACTCCTGTGCAAAAAATTTCGAAAACGACTTAAAAACGAAGGAGATACCATATGGTATGAAGTTGGCAACGAGAGGTATGAAATTCTTTTTCTAAAAAAATATTGAAAATAGATCTTATTTTGTATAGCACAACCAACTCGTCCCATCTGTGCAAAAAAAATTGAAATCCGAGTTAGAACGAAGAAGATAAGTGTAACACCTTAGGCAAATCCCACATCGACAAAGCACGGGAGAGATCCATGGTTCAAAAGTAAGAAACCAACATTAACTGACAAGACGTGTTTTGGGGTGAAATAGAGGAGTTCTTGTGAGAACTCCGAAGTTAAACGTGTTCAGGGTGGAGCACTGCAAGGATGGGTGACCTTATGGGAAGTCACCTTGATATGCACACCAAGTCGAAAACCGTGCGGGTGTAGAGGCCGAAAGCGGACAGTATCTTGTCGGGAAAAGGTTCCGGATGCTACAAGTGGTATCAGAGCCTCTCTGCGTTCCTCTTGAACGATGGTGGGGCAAACCTCAACGAGGGCATTGAGTCCCCGGGGGGGGGGGGGGGTGGTGTATGTAACACCTTAGGCAAATCCCATGTTAGGGTACAATCCAAGTACCACATTGGAAATACAAGGGAAGGAACCCTTGTATATTAGAGTCCACCTAGCCCAATTAGTACGAGGCCTTTTGGGGAGGACACCCAAGAGTAAAACCGTGCGGGTTTTGCCCAAAGCGGACAATATCGTACTAGTTGAGCGACCCGATTTCGACAAGTGGTATCAGAGCCTGGTTCGGTTCGGGGCGGTGGACGTCAGTTTGGTGGGCCCTCGTTCAGTGGCCTCGGGATTTGAGATTCGCATCTGTTTGGTGGATCCACGAGAGATCCACGTTTGGGCTTTGGCGGATCAAAGAGAGTTCCGCATTTGGCAAGCAGATCAAAGAGAGTTCTGCGTCTGGTAAAGTCCTTGTACCGAGAAGCCCATCGATACAAGGCGTCTGGCGGATCAAGATAATCCCGGAGGTGAGGACACGATGTTCGTGGTCCTTGTCTTGAAGGGAGGATTGTTAGGATACAATCCAAGTACCACATCGGAAATAATTGTTAGGGTACAATCCAAGTACCACATCGGAAATACAAGGGAAGGAACCCTTGTATATTAGAGTTCACCTAGCCCAATTAGTACGAGGCCTTTTGGGGAGGACACCCAAGAGTAAAAACCGTGCGGGCTTGGCCCAAAGCGGACAATATCGTACTAATTGAGCGGCCCGGTTTGACAAGTGGTATCAGAGCCTGGTTCGGTGCGGGGCGGTGGACGTCAGTTTGGTGGACCCTCATTCGGTGGCCTCGGGATTTGCGATCTGCGTCTGTTTGGCGGATCAAAGAGAGTTCCGCGTCTGGGAAAATCCTTGTACCGAGAAGCCCATCGATACAAGGTGTCTGGCGGATCAAGATAATCGCTGAGGTGAGGACACGAAGTTCGTGGTCCTTGTCTTGAGGGGAGGATTGTTAGGGTACAATCCAAGTACCACATCGGAAATACAAGGGAAGGAACCCTTGTATATTAGAGTCCACCTAGCCCAATTAGTACGAGGCCTTTTGGGGAGGACACCCAAGAGTAAAAACCGTGCGGGCTTGGCCCAAAGCGGACAATATCGTACTAATTGAGCGGCCCGGTTTGACAAGCCTCCGTGCGGGCTCTGATACCACTTGTCAAACCGGGCCGCTCAATTAGTACGATATTGTCCGCTTTGGGCCAAGCCCGCACGGTTTTTACTCTTGGGTGTCCTCCCCAAAAGGCCTCGTACTAATTGGGCTAGGTGGACTCTAATATACAAGGGTTCCTTCCCTTGTATTTCCGATGTGGTACTTGGATTGTACCCTAACAATCCTCCCCTCAAGACAAGGACCACGAACTTCGTGTCCTCACCTCAGCGATTATCTTGATCCGCCAGACACCTTGTATCGATGGGCTTCTCGGTACAAGGATTTTCCCAGACGCGGAACTCTCTTTGATCCGCCAAATAGACGCAGATCGCAAATCCCGAGGCCACCGAATGAGGGTCCACCAAACTGACGTCCACCGCCCCGCACCGAACCAGGCTCTGATACCACTTGTCAGAACAGAAGCGTGCAATCGATAATTCAAACCAACACGAACGAACACAAATTTAACGTGGTTCACTAACACAATGTGTGCTAGCTAATCCACGGGCAGAGGAGAACAAATTTCACTGATTTGAGGAGAGTACAGGTTACAAACCAAATTCCAAATGGACAAACCAAACAAACTAACCTGACTGACCCTTACTAGAGACTAGGGTGATGAAGAGTATTTATAGAACTCTTCTCCTAATCCCAAACAGAAAACCAAATACCTTTTCCCAAACATACAAGGAAAAGGTCAAAACAAAACCCAATCCCAAACCCAAACACAATAGGCCTAAAACACAAAACAAACCCAATCAAATTCAAGTCATATCCTAACATCCCACATCGACAAAGCACGGGAGAGATCCATGGTTCATAAGTAAGAAACCAACATTAACTGACAAGACGTGTTTTGGGGTGAAATAGAGGAGTTCTTGTGAGAACTCCGAAGTTAAACGTGTTCAGGGTGGAGCACTGCAAGGATGGGTGACCTTATGGTAAGTCACCTTGATATGTACCCCAAGTCGAAAACCGTGCGGGTGTAGAGGCCGAAAGCGGACAGTATCTTGTCGGGAAAAGGTTCGGGATGTTACAAGTGGTATCAGAGCCTCTCTGCGTTCCTCTTGAACGATGGTGGGGCAAACCTCAACGAGTTGAGTCCCAAGGGGGGGGGGTGTATGCAACACCTTAGGCAAATCCACATCGACAAAGCACGGGAGAGATCCATGGTTCATAAGTAAGAAACCAGCTTTAACTGACAAGACGTGTTTTGGGGTGAAATGGAGGAGTTCTTGTGACAACTTCGAAGTTAAACGTGCTCAGGGTGGAGCACTGCAAGGATGGGTGACCTTATGGGAAGTCACATTGATATGCACTCCAAGTCGAAAACCGTGCGGGTGTAGAGGGCCAAAGCGGACAGTATCTTGTCGGGAAAATGTTCGGGAGCCGATTAAAAAAACTAGAAAAAACAATAAAAAACCCTTTAATTGCCAACCCTTAGATTTGCAGCCCACTTAAAAGAAAAGATCCAGATTTGATTGTTAACCACCTTAAGGTTACTCACCGTAACTTGAGCCCTATTACCATTGGTATTCAACCGAATATGAATCGATTTGGTTGGAGAAAATAACATAAATGATTTTGTTTTGGATTTTCTACGGAATCCGATAAAGAGGGTACTGAGTTTGGTATTTTAAGTATCCAAACCAAACTCACGTCAATATGTGCCACAACTATGGGTTACACTCACTAGATTTAGCACTTCGGTCATTCATATCATCTAAGTATTATAATTATCTAGTAGAAAACTCTAACGCACTTTCTCTCGCTTTCATAAACAATATCGTAACAAAACTTAAAGCAACATCGGCATTTTAAGAAAATTTTCACTTTATATAGAAAAAATTATATATAATTATTCGGGATGGTGCGGATGAATTTTCTCGAACCAAACACGAGTAAATTTTGATAATGCAATTTTACATCTCTGCTTAACTTTACTTTCGAAAAAATTACAAATTTAAAATCGTGGTTGGGAATGATGTATAATTGTACAGAAAAAGAAGCTATAGACCAACCCGCGATGCCATCCTATAACTCTGCAATATTTTTTGTGACCTATTTTACCCCAGGGAAAGGGAAGATTCTTCTGACACGCCACAACCAAAAAAGTCAAATGCTGGTCCTCAACGGGCTATCGGGCATGCAAAACAAGTGCAGATCTGAAGTCGCAACTCACAACATATCCGGACGCCGAGCATATTAAAGACGCGCGCATTCAGTCAAAATCAACGCCCAAAATTCTACACACCATGAATTATTCGCAGGAAAAATGAAAGCCAATGTCAAAAACATATATAATTAGACTGGATTATAGTCTTCTCCTTCTTCATAACAACACCACATAACCAAACCGGAGCTCAAGGCCCACGTCAGTTACCAAGAGCAGGAAAGCCATTCATGCAATACCAACATAATTAATGTCCTTAACCAGCTATAGCGACCAGTTGGTAATTAATTAATTAATTAATGGCTCTATCAGCACCTGCAACAGCATCAACAGCCATCATGGTGCTAAGGTTCATGGGTCGGATGTGGTCCGTCGAAGCATCCATCAGCTTCTTCACCATGATCCGCAGCGCCTTCTCCGTGGGGTGGTACGGGTCCCAGAAAACGTACTCGTCCCTATTGCTGCACAGGTTCGACATCTCTGTGCACATCCCCAACCCGTTGTACATCCCCTGCCCGCAGCAGGCTACCTTCGACGTCTTAAAACCTGCATCCGTAATTAATTAAATTAAGAAGAACCATAAAAATTAAAAATGGTAAAACTAATACACACGTGCGGTGCGCACCGTATTGCTCCGGCTTTTCGATCATGTCCATCTTCAAGGAGAAGGCGTTGGCGGAGATGAAGACGTCCTCGCCGATATCCCTGTTGAGCTCGTCCACAAGATCGAACAGCTTGGGGTTGAACATCTTGGCCGCCTCCTGGGGCTCGTCGGCGCACTCGCCGTTCATGCTCCCGTAGAAGGCCAGCTCGGCCGGTATGCAGCCCAGTGGGCCGGTTCCCGTCACCACGATCCTCCTGGCGCCCAGCCCGTAGAGCGCCAGGAGGTGCTTCTTGTACTCCGACATCACGTAGCCGCAGAAATCCGGGAGGGTGTACTGCTCCCGCCGGGGAGCCACGGGGGTGAGGAAGTAGTTGTTCACGAAGTCGTTCCCGCCGCAGGTTATGAGGATCACGGCGTTGCTCACCACCTCTTGGGCCTTGGCCGGGCCCATCAGCGCCGCCAGCCGGTGCTTGTACTCCAGGAACATCCCCAGTTGCTCGTACATCTTCAACACCGTAACCTGCGGCAGCCTCTCGATCAAACTTTAATGAGTGAATCTTAGGTCCTAATTATCTAAATCATAAAATGTAAACTCTAAGATGTTGCATTTTTTTTTTCGTCTATATTTGGACGAATCATAACCGTCGATTATTGTTTCTAATTAAATTGATTTTGGGTATAAGATTTAGAGAATTAAGACCTAAATTTTGATCTTTAAGGATTAGAGTATAGTATCATGTCCGAAAAAATCAGTCAATTCAAGGTCTGGATAGCATTTTCATAGTCAAGGTATGCAGTACCCTGGATTTCACCCTGGATACCGTAGAACTCGCCATATATTTTAAAGGGAGAGACAATTGGATCTGGCAACTTACGAACTGAAAGCCGGTGTCATTGAGGACTCCGATCCCAGCAGAGGCAAAGTTGGCGCCAGCCAGTAGTTTCTTTCCCTTAAGATCCGGATTTAAGAACGGAAGCGGTGACTCCAACCCAAGCGCCTCCGCTGCGTGCATGTGACGCGCGTGATCACAACGTCCAATGAGAGGGAAGAAACACCCAAAATTACAACATAAAATTTACGAGTACGTACGCGAGCCGCAACGACATATATACGTACCAATGAGGTCAGGGAAGTTGAGGCCATTGGAAAAGCGGCCCGTGGGTTGCTGGTGGGGATAGTCTATGCCGTTGGGCGGCGAATCCGCACGTGCCGTCGTCATTAAGTAGTTATTATTCCCACTATCAACCAGGGAGTCCCCAAACACTAGAAACGCTCTGGCTGGCACGGACTCCTGAGCAGACGGGCCCGGAGCCGGCGCCGGCGCTGCAGCCGTTGCTGGGGCTGGTGCTGGTGCCGGTGTTGTCGTCGAAACCCGTGCGGCTAATACTAGTACCGTCACGGCAGCCAGGAGCGAAGTGGCCGCCGCAGAGATATTCCTCATAGGAGGCGAGAAGAGCATTATATAATTTCTTTCGGAATATATGGTTTGCGCACGATGGTTTATCACGGCTTGATGTGCTGTTCTTCTGGTTGTGGGACTTTGCTTGTTTATAAAGAGAACGGCTGAGCATCTGTTTGGGTAAAAAAACTTTCCCTAAAGTGTGTTAGCAATTGGTTGAAGCACTAATAAATGGGAAATTCTTGCGTCCAACCCCAGTTGGAGCTAGAGGCTCCATCCTGCCATTTGGCAGCCCCATATTGGCCAATCAACCTTCCTTTTTCCCTTATTTTAATTTTTTTATTCCTTTAACATTAATCACATTATGAAATAAAAACAGGAAGAAAAAAAGCTTGGACAGAAACGACATGGAGACGGATGGAAGCTGGGAAGGCAACTTATGGATTATAAATTAATTAGGTCATATCTTAGGTTTATAATTTATATGTTCTTCTATACTCTATAGGAAAAAATTGGCTACAAAAAAAATAAATAGAATACAAAAATTGCCTGTGCATTGGAACCAATTTTGAAATACTTATGCGTTCAAATTTTGAAATTCTTTGACAATTTCAAATTGATATGACCATTGTACAAAATGCCAAAAAAACAATATCTCACAATATCATAAATAATTCGACAAAAATTCGAACACCATACTTAGTATTACAGTGCCAACATAAATAGAATACTCGAATAAAAGAAACAAAGTCAATAATCCATGGCGGTTGAGACATAAATCTTTTCACAAATTTTGATCATCAAAATGAGAATTTGCTATTGCTTCCTGCAAAACAGAGAAAAATTGACATTAATTTAAAATAGTAGTAAATAAAATTATAGAACATACAAACCTAAGATATGACCTATTAAATTATAATCCATAAGTTGCCTTCCCAGCTTCCATCCGTCTCCCTGCGTTTTCGAGGCTTTTTTTTCAGTTTTTATTTCATAATGTGATTAATGTTAAAGGAATAAAAAAATTAAAATAAGAGAAAAAGGAAGGCTGATTGGCCAATATGGGGCCGCCAAATGGCAGGTTGGAGCCTCTAGCTCCAACGGGGGTTGGACGCAAGAATTTCCCCTAATAAATGTGGCTATCTAACTTAGAGGAAAAAGACAGAGGTGCTTATTTAAGAAGGTTCTACCATCACCAGTTAATTACTCCCATGCACATATATTAACTTTTTCTTCTTCCACTTCGGTTACATGCAATCTTTTTTGCGGTTACTTTTACAGAGCTACATGCCTGCATTTATTTCAAAAGTTTGGCTTGGTTTTGGAAAAAAAAAAACCTCTTATTTTCTGGTATAAAAAAATCATAATACCGTAGAGGGTTGAGATTGGAGAAAATGTGATCTAATGGTCGTCTTTGTAGAGAAGTAAAGAGGAAAAGTAGGGGTTTGTGGAGACAAGAGAAGCGACCAGATTTCTTGGGTAGTTGACCAGATTTTTAGGCTGACACAAATTTCCAGATTGTTGGTAAAATATTTTTCAAATCGCACAAAAAAAAAAAAAAATAGCAAAACTTATCTTATTCGTTTTATTTCGGAATTCAAAAATTTTTACGTAGAAAAATCAATATTTTTTGTGTTCTACAAGATGATATCGATTTTGATATTTTTTTGAACAAAAATTTTTCAGGCCATCAAATTACCATTACCATATCACAATATGATAGTGATATGATGTTGGTATAAAGTCTTATGTTTGGAAAAATAATTTGATGACATTACATCATTGTCATATTAATTATAATATTATCACTATAACATTGTTAAAAATTGAAGTTAATTCTAGAGTTATCTTACTCGCACTAACTACCTATTCCCAATCCATCAAGGGTCAAACATAACTGACGACCGGGTGTAGCATAGGGTGAGCAAAGTAATACAATTATCGATCCACGTGTCTCTAGATGTAATGTTACTTCAACTTTAGTATGTTATCTAGCCAAACAATAATAGTGATTAATTAAGACTAAGCTAGCTAAATAATCTAACAACTACCCTAACTAATTACAAGGTTGGGAGCTCACATAGGCATGAATCCCCCTAATTCTGTCATTTGGACCGATGGTGTGTACTATCATAGATTGATTGACTTGGTACTTCTACTGCCAATAATTCTAGATTAGGTTGGACTCCCGCTCAATTGTTTTACCCGGCGAGGCATAACATACAACCGACATAGGCGATTGAGGTGTTCATAACCAATTCCCATGATTGGACAAAAACGAATACGAAACTGTGGATCCTATCACACTCATTCAAAGACCCGTAGTGAATGATTGAAGGTGCTCTATTCAACCTAGAACGATATTCTCTCTCCTAGGTCAAAAGCTCAATTGACATGTAATGGGATCAAGACTCATGCAATTCCTCATAAACATCAATCAAATAGATAATAGGATTTGTCACATATATAAAAAATATAATGAAACCAAAATCTTAAACTAGAATTAATCAACCTAAGTGAAGGAAGCTAACTCATAGAGAAGAAGAGAGAGAGAACAGTATAAGGTGATTTGCACCCCCAAAATAGCACCATGAACCCTCTAGGCCTCTCTCTCTCTCTCTAGAATTACCCCCTTGGGTGTTTTAGGGCAAAAAAACCCAGCTCTTCTTGCTCAAAATCCTTGCTGTCAATATATACCCGTACGTAGCAGTGCAAGGATCACACCTTGGGTTGATTTCACGGCAATGAAGTGTACATTTCATGGTTTAGGTGTTATTTTCACTCCCTCGGATAGTGTAGTGTGCACTAAGACCTGAAACATGACAAAAGAAGCACAACCTAACATAAAATGGGTCTAGGAACAATATGACACTATACTGTCTATGTCTTAGTAATTGATGATGTTAAGTAATTGATTATGTATTGAATATTTCAATTAAAAATCCGTAAATATGACACTTACGTAATCATTTTGTTGAATACATATAAAAAGTCGACTAACCATGTTAAGTATGGTAGAATCGCTTGTTGGTACAACATTTTCCCTCATCCAAGACACATTTCACTTTCCACATAAATAGTTGATACTCTCCCATCTAGTTTGTAAGGCTCCATCAGTATGTATATTGATGAATGAATCATCCCGAATATCACAATAAAAATCCCGATTAAGGCCCAAGTATAAACCTTAACCGGGTGCAATATAGGCCAAGTATGTTTTAAAAGTCAAACCCAGGTCGGTCCATGTACCACTACTTCAATTGTTTGAAAGATTATCTAGCAAATGGTTTTTAGTTAAAACTATGGTTTAAAGCTAAAGCAATTGAAAAAGTAAATGGTTTGAACACTAATTGAGAAGGCTTCACTCGGGTGTTGCTCCCCCTAGCTAGTAATCATGACTTGTCGCCGTTGTCGGATCAAATACAAATGTGTGGTAAAGGCGGTTGTAAATTGTAGGAAAGTGCAACAAGTGAACAAGCGTCACTCTCTCGGTCACTAGGCCAAGGGATTTGGAATCAAGCTACCAAGGTAGCTCTCTTGGCCAATCGACTAAGGGTTTCTTGGGCTTCTCCCTCGAACCATAGTCCGGACGACCAAAACAAAACCTACCCAAGGTGCTAATACGTATTGAGAGGTTCCCCCTAATTCAACCTAAGCAGGTAACACAATTTGGCAAAGGAATTCCAGCTTTAACAAGCATCTTATCAAGAAGGGGATTTTCCTCTACCTAGGTCAAAATGACATAAGAGTTAGAAATGCAAAAACACAACACAACGTTCATGAAAATACCTCATAACTTGTACTAAAACACAAGCACACACAAGTCATTAAATCCATACAAACATTCACATAATTATAGTTAGGGTTTACAAATACCCAAGTGAAAGAAAGGACTACTCTATTCTAAGTAGAGGGCATACACAAAGGAGAAGAGTGAAAACCATCTTGATGATGTTTGCCTTCTTACTTGTGGTGTGGAGATCAACCTTGGAGGAAGAAATTCCCAAAACTTTTCTCTTGGATGAAACCCTAACTTCTCCTCCTTCTCTTGTTCGTCACTTTCTCACTCTAGAAATCTGAAGAAGAAGAAGAAGTCTCTCTCACTAGGTTCTCTCCCTTTTCTCTTTAAGCTCAACCCTCCTTATATACCCAGATTGACGGAATTCCCCGGTCCCAGTTCACGGCCGTGAACATAGGGCTTGGACTGTGATGTCAAGCAAAAGCACGTCGTTTCACTTAGGCGCTTCAAGGTCTAGAGCGGTTTTTCACAGTCGGCTGGTCGTGAAATGCTGAACGCCCGCGAGGTGTGCAAAACTATCCTAGACTCCATGCGCTTAGCGGTCTGCGCCCCTTCTTCACAGTCTGGCTGATCGTGATCTGCTGGCCTCCCCTGAGAACAACTGTTTGTTCCCTTTTGACTGGTTTCCCCCCCTTTTCGTCCAACCTTCGTTCCAGGGGTTGATTTCACCTGCTAGGATTTGAAACGTACTAAAAACAACCACAACCTAGCGTAAAACTGAACCTTACAGAGTTAAAGTGCCTCAAACATCTAAGGAAAACCGGATAAAAAGTGTACAATTAGACCCGAATCACTCCTCTACACTTAGACGTTTGCTTGTCCCCAATAATCAATTCCAAACAAGGTAATATCTCAACCTAACAAGATAACTTGGGGACATATCAAAGGGCTCAAATAGGGTGAATCCCAATGGCTATTGGGCATCAACACATGAACTATTACAGGCAATATCGACATCCACCACACACGACATTCGAATACATTAAGAACATGCAAACAAAAAGTTCTCATCCTGTTCACAAATCAATACAAGTCTCGACGGGACTACTCACCAACCACAACTAACCATGCCCAGAGTTCAAGTCTAAGGAACAAACAAATGGACAACATAGGTCCTCACCGGGATAAGCATCAACATGCAAAAAATGAAATTGTTCTAAAATATTTTATCTCCTATGGAAATATGCAGTATTTGCATCACCCTCCTTCAACCATATCTCCCTAAAATTTTTCCTCATAAAAGGCTCTTCTACCTCCCTTAACTCCTTTAACTCGATGAAGACCATCTTCTCTTTTTCAAAAGAAACTTCTTAAGGATAAGATAAAGTTTTTGCTTGAGACAACACCAAGTCATCTTCCTTTGACTTGACTCTCCCTCTGTAATCTGAGTACTCTTCTCTACCGAGCTTCTTCTATAATCCCTTAACGATTTTAAGCTTCTTGCAACTCTCGCAAGTGGATACCCATCAACTTCCCTAGATCAAGGAGTTTGAACAAGATCCATAAACTAAAGATGACCCATCCAAAACTTTAAAAACTTAAAAAGTCTTTGGGAGATACTTGATAGAGATATTTGTTTCCAACATTATGGGGCAGTTGTCAAAGACCGAAGGATTCAGTAAATCAACTTTGCTAGAGCCAAAACTTTCCAACTAACCTATATTAGCAAAGGCCCTATCAAGCCTCCTTGCATGGGGTTGCCTTCCTGCTTACTGATCCATGTGAACAAAGGACTAGTAGTCTTATGTTCCTCAATTTCTAGGTTATGCTGCCATTGCAAGAAATCATCATACTAGATGAGGAAGCAGGAGAGTTCGAGGCTTCACTAGTGTGAGCAATTGCATTAAAATCTCCTAGTAAAATCCATGGCTAATTTACCACTTTAATACCTTCAAAATCAACATATAATTTTCTCCTACTAGCCTCTTCATTTGATGCATAGTTCAGAGTGCTGAAGAAAGGGATACATGTACTCACAATAGCATGCATAACCTAATCTGACTGATGCAGAACTCTAAACTGAATGTCTTTTCTCCAAATTAACCAATTCTTCCCCAACTTATTTTCATTGTTAGCAATTTTATGCTCCCAATCTGAAAACTTGTCATTTATTAGCTTCTTTGCCTTCCCTGCTCTAACTCTTAGCTCTAATATAGCAATGATATCTACATTAAATTTATTGAGTAACTTCTTTATAGCTTTATTCTTTTTTGGGGCTTTGAATCCCCTTGTATTCCATACAAGGACCTTCATTTCTTTTTACCACCACGACCACCCCTTTCACCTTAGGAACTAAGAAAGGGGTCTAAGTTTTTCTCTTCACCCAAATACCCTTCATATGTTGGTTGTTGCTCGAATTCATTACTGCAGTTGACTGATCATGTATCTTTCTAGAAAAAACTGATAAACTAGCTGAGGCAGTCAATTTCTTAGTAGGTTGAGGTCTCCCGACAATTGTTGGTGACCCCCTAACCACTTGAGCAAAACTAACAGTAGCTGCACCATCACCCTGATTTGTTTGACCCCCCCCCCCCTTCTCAAGAGTAGCCGTATAAACAATTTGAGACTTACATTTATCATTGATTTCCTCCCCTTGCTCCATAGGAGCTAACTTGGGTTAATAGAAAGAGAGGGCAAACTTAGATTAACATAAAAGGAGTAGGGGCATATATTGAACAAAGTGATAAAATATTGTGGGATTTCGATCTTACAAATGGTTCCCAATCCTACAAATGTGGGTTTATGAAATCCTTAATGTTTAAAATCTCTTGTAAAAAAAGACTCCAAAATGAGTTATTCTGGTTAAAATCTCTCACTATGAGGAATTGTGCCCAAAACACTCACACAAAACCTTCATCCAACGCCCCTCAGAAGATTCGGGGGCAAACACTTTAGAGGATAACTTCTCACCCTCAATAGCACTAGCATTTGTATCACTAACAATATTAGAATTTGCCTTGCTTTTGGTTTAGACTTCCAGTCTCTCCCATTTTCTGCCAACCTCTCGGAATTGTGCCCATAAACCTTACAAGCAGGACATGTAAAAGGTTTATTTAGGTATTTAACATATCTACCAAAAAACAAGGGTCATCATCTGGGTATAACCTAACTTGAGATAGAAACCCACAATCTGCAGCTTGGTCTACATAGACCTTAGCATACCCGAGCCAAGCACCTACTTTTATCGAATTATCCATCCATAACGGAGGCCCCAACATACTTATGAGCCACTCCAAACCTTCGAAAGAGTGATACTCCATAGGTATACCCCCAAATCCTCACCCAAATAGGAAGGGTTTCAACTACTGGGGGCAACCAGTTGAATCCTCCGCGCTCACTTATGAAAGAAAATATGATTTCCTTGATAGTGCCAAGGAGCATATTGAAAAACCCATATGCTAGTAGAAGTAGAGGGAAAGTGAAAAACTAGGAGTCTCGGATCAAACCTGGAGAGCCCTAACTGCACAATCATGACCCTAAAGAGCAGTCGCCCATTGGTGAAGACTATAACCTTTGGAATCAGCCTGATTAACTGTTCGATGAGGCAATTCTTCCCCTGTCCTGGTGTTTTCTTCGCCGGCATGCAAATTTAAACATCACCGATAGAGAAAGAAGAGAGGATTAGAGATTTTTTTTTACTATACCCTAAACCTCAACCCCAAATGAAGACAATTTCTCTAAAAACTACATCCAAATTTAAATAAAATACAACTTTTCAAACAAATTAAGAAAATTCTCATATTTAAATATAACATTTAATGCCAACATCCAAGCGTTTATAATCAATCCATCAAATAACATAATATCTACAAATTTATATCGAATTATAAAAATCAAATTTTTTTATTAATTAAAATCACCAAAACAACATCATCTTGTTAAGAATTGAAAATTTGATCATGTAGTTTATATTAGTGCATTCTAGCTTATTTTGTAATCAATACTAGTACTATTGGATGTACCGCTCAATATGTCATCGACTTGACAACCATGACTAGGGGTGGAAATCGGTATGGTATCGGTATCCCAATACCAAATACCGAAATCTCGAATACCGAATTAGACTCTAAAGTCAATCCCAATCCTAATCTTTAAATAATTTCGGTATCCCAATCCCAATCTCTAAATATTTCGGTATCCCAATCGGTATCATCGAATACAAAATTAATTACCTTTACAATTAATAATTAAATATATAAATTAGATTTTATTGTTTAATTTAGGGGGAAAAGCTTAAGTAAGGTGTCTTGAATTAGGATATTATTAAGGAGAATGGAGGAGAGGAGACATCTCAAGTTCTTGTCATTGGTAATCGTTAATTTGACGAATTGGAGGTTGAGAGACGATTATTAATAGTGATAGAATGATCTATGTATAATTAAATGTCACTATTGGTGGTTTAGGTTCGTGTAGTAGTGAATGAGAGAGTCTAGTTGAGAGGATAAAATATACATTAGCTTATATTTCGGTATTGATCGGTATTTCTGTATATACCGATCCCAATCCCAATCCCAATCCCAATCTCAATCCCGTAATCTCTAATACCTAATAACAATTGAAATTCAATCTCAATCCCAATCCAAAAAATAATATATGTATTCGGTAATACCAAATATAGACAAATTCAGTACGGTATTCGGTATATCCCAAATACCGGTACCAAACTTCCAGACATTAATCCTGAAAAGGGAAAAAGTTGGACAAAGAAAATAGAAAACAAAATTGAAAAGGGAGAAAGAAGTGAAACGAAAAGGGTGAGTCTCCAGCTGATCTTCACTACAATTGATAACAATCAAATCATTCTCTGCCTAATTTCCAATCTTCTGCTAGGGTTTTCAGTTTCAGTTTTTTGATTCCCCGGAAGAGATGCGGCCCAATTGCTGTCATGTATCCATTGCATTTCTGCTCAAGTTCTTCAATTTCCTCCTTGCCTTCATCGGCATCTCCATCATTCTCTATTCCGCCTGGATGCTCGATCAATGGAACCATCACCTTCCCGCCTCCCCGCCGCCGTTCCCTGCTCCCTCCTCCTCCTCCTCCTCGGCTTCTTCTATCGTCTATTCCCGATCTCATTCAGTTAGTACTCTTAATCTCGCCACCGATGTGGCCTCTCAGATGGACGCCGGCCTCGGGTTTTACTTGAATTCCGTCGACCTCCCTGCCCCTTGGTAATTGAATTTTTCGCCCCATCCCTCGTCTTCTCTTCTTCCAGTCTAATTACGGGTTGACCTGCAAATTAATTACTTGCTTCAATATAGTTAATTGTCCATGTAAATATGACTTTTGATGGTAAAAGGTCGTGATTGAACGCTTCCGATATCTTCTGCTTTTTTCCGAGATTGGAAATACACTTCCTTTTCTAGAGAGGGAGGAGAGAAAACGAAAATTTCATAATCACAGTGATTTGCATGTTTCTATCGGTGATGGGTAGTAGTTCAAAGTTGAATTCTTATATTTTCCCTTCATTAATTGCTCTGATCTTTGAGTTGGGGTCACGGTTCTTGTCCTTGTTTTGGTTTGGTTGATGGCCTGGGACTCCATGGATTCCTATTTTTTTTTTTTTGTATAATCGCGTGATAGAGTTTTTCTTTTCTTCCACGCCTTCAGTTTCTTGTTGAATATTTGTGATTATGGGGCTTTCAAGTTACAAGAAGTTGTGGTACTCCATAGAGCATTAAAAAGTGAAGTGGTTTCGAATTGCAGGTTCATCTACTCTTTTATGGGAGTCGGCGCCATTTTATGTTGCATCACTTTCATCGGTTGCATTGCAGCTGAAGCCATCAACGGTTGTTGCCTGTGCTTTGTATCCTAGCTACATGAGGCTTTATCTGTTTTTTCCCCCTTCTTCTTCTCGTTTGCCGCTTATAATATCTAATGAATGAAGCATAGGATCTAATTTGTAATCTGCGATCTCTTATCTGGTGGTAAATCCATCCCTCGGCCACAGGGGGGCATCAAATTTTTATCTCTTATCTGCAGCAAATTGATGACACTTAAATTATATGTTTCTTTAACAGCTGTTTCTGTACAAAGTATCCTTAACGTAATACCATTAGTATACTGTCCTCAAAGTTGTACTCATTCTGGTGGAAGCAGCTTTGATTGCTTTCATTGCAATTGATCGTCATTGGGAAAAGGTAGTACTAGTTACTTCACTGCTCGTGTGATGATTTCGAGTGTTTGCTTTGGCCTTCATGTTTTATCAGAGGTTTCTTTGAACTAAAAAAACTATCTATTCTTGACAGGATATTCCATTTGATCCAACTGGAGAAGTTCAAAGCATGCGAGCTTTTATTGAGGACAACATTGAGATATGTAAATGGGTTGGCATAGCAGTGCTTGTAATTCAGGTATCAGATGACCTCAACTTTAATGGATTCTTATAGTTAACAAGGTTTTTGTTGACTGAGATATGGAAATTTTGGAACATGTTACTTCTCGTTTCCACTGTGAAGCGATAAAGTTGTGACCACTTGTTGTAAGAAAGTCTGCAGGAAGCCATAAACTCTAATCTTTCTCCAGTTATTTTGTAATTTCCTTCCGGCCACTTTTACTGAAAATTCATCTATATAACTGACTCTTTTGTAAAAATATGAAAGAACAAGGCATCATGAGATCTTGCTAGATGACATCTCGATTTGGCTTTTGTCAATTCCAGAATTGTGAATGATTTTGTGAAGCAGTGCTTAGATTAACATAAACCAGTCATCTTGGACCTCTATCTTATTGGTCTTTGTTTCACTACTTTCAGGCTGTGTCTCTACTGCTTGCCATGGTTCTGCGTGGGTTTGGTTTCCACTCCAAAGAGCGATATTGATGGTGAGGATGATTACGAGAGTGGTAGAAGTAGAAGGTGGGAACCACTCTTGGGTCAACCAGGTCAAACATCTGGATCAGGGAACGGATCAGACATTTGGAGCTCGAGAATGAGGGAAAAGGTATGTTGAAGGACACTGCCTAACTTGTGCCAAGAAAAATTCCAGTACTGATAAGTTTAGGTCTCTCTTTATGGTGGGAACAGATTGAAAAAATTAGAATACCCTTTTGAATCAACTAATAGTATCCTGAAATGGTCAGAGAATGCATGATCTGCAGAGATTAAACATGTCCCAAATTAGAATATATGGTGACATCTGAATGTAAATAAACGGATGTAAATTAAACTTATTTGACATTCAACTCCGAAAGCTGGTTAAGATACGAGCCATGCTTAACTTCCGCAATTCCAGGCTAAGTTTTGAAAGGGTTTTTACTTCCCTATTAAGGTGCCTATGGAATTCAGAACCTTGGCATATGGGTATTTGTGCACTTATAGTTTGTTTTCCATCTCGGTGATTTTACCAGCCTACATTGCGACTTTGTCCTACTCAAGAAATATTATATTCTGTCAAAAACCGGTGGTAATCTTGGTTGGTATTCTTGATTGAAGACAAAGAATTAGTGTTCATTCCTCCGGAAATCATCCATAGAGTGTTGGAAAGATGAACCATTTAGGATTATTTTACTTATTGCGAGTTCTGTGGTTTCTATCATGCCGCATGCGAACATTTATTTGCGTCTTGTTCTTGTTAGTTCTAAGGTCGTTGATCTTCCATTCCATGTTTTAAACTCGTGCTTCTCCCTTTGTACTTGCAGTATGGACTGAACAGCAACGACAAACCTGGTTTAAATACGTCAATGAGCATGAAATCCAAGTGAGGAAAGCTGGCGCTTTCCTGCAGGCCAAAGGAAGTGACTGTTGCTATGATTTGTGAGTTTGTCGAGTCTCTCTGCGAGTAAGGTATATGTTTGCCTTTGTGTGGCGGAGTAAGTTGTGTGTGTATATAAACGGATGGAAGATTTTAGGATCTTGTCTGACTAGTTTTGCTGTCTGCTGATTGGGTGTTTGTTTCTGCTGTAAATTGCAGAAGTTGATCGTTTCTTTGTTTGTCTACGAATGTATCTGTGGGTAAGGCAGTCGATAATTCGAGTGGCGACATTCTCTACATATATTACTCTGATGTGTGTGGGTGTGAGTCTGTATCAATAATTTGCATTCGTTTTGTTTTCCTTCAGTTCTTTGTGATTTGCTAGTTATTTGTCTTTGCAGTCTTGAGTTAATTGTCCCGAAGCTGCAACCATCAAATTATAGTATTGAGTAGACGGTTTAGTTCATAAATAGTTGATTCCCTTTGCGCGAATGAGAAGATGGAGCAGTAGCTTCTCCATTTGGTATACCCGTTTCTTACCCCCAATAGACATTGACGATAAATATCGAAATAGGAACGACTGTAATCCAACGTAAAAAAAAAAAAAAAAAAACCTTGTTAGACCTCAGGGAAACAGCACAAGGCCAGTTCCACAAAATTGGCGTCGAGAGTAGGCCTCCTTTTTGCAACGTGGGAGCTTATCCAGCCACTCCAAATTCACAAAAGCCTTGTGTACGCGTAGTGCAATAGGAATATAGGATTACTTATAGAGAACTATTCTATCAGCTTCAGAATTAGAAACACACAAGTGGCAAAGAAAAGATGATCACCACCATTTAGGACATAGCCCCACTCGTTATCAATGGGATCAAGGATATTTTCAACAAGAAATATATAGAAGAGTTGGTGTCGGATTAACTGAAAATCAAAGTTTATATGAAGCTTTGTCTAAAATTCCTACCTTACTACAACATAGGGACAGAAGGGAGAAGGTTGTGAAGGTGGCCTCGTTATCCACACCCCCGGTCGGATTAATGGAGGAGCGACCGGCCTGGGTATTCATGCACCTATAGACGCTTAACGCCCAATCATTTCGGATAACGCTTGCATCCTCTGTATTATCGCGGCTGCTGGCACATCGAGTTCGAAGTCAAAGCTTTCTTCTAGCTTATAGGTTGAAGTTTAAGGTTTCCAAGCAATATGACACCCCATTTATGTATTAATATAATTAATATATTAGTAGAAAGAGTACAACACATTGTTCTTCCTGCGTTTGGATTTCAAACGATTTAGTTGTAACCATGTTAATAAAATAGTGACACGTTAGTGGTTGATAGAGAGTCAAAGTTTATTTACCAATGAATCTCGAAATGCACAAAATCTATTAAAGTGAAGTGTCGTATTATAATATTAGAATTATTAAAGCACAAACAGCCAAAACTTACCAAAAAACGAAATTACTGTTCATTACGAAAAAATCGCATTGTACTGTTCACGGAGAGAGTTGGATGATTCCCTACGGGCCTGATTCACGTGAGCCCATGTTTATTTCTCTTGGATAGGCCAAGGAGATGAATGAGCTCACATTAAGTAAGCTACACCTGATCGTCGCCCTCATTTATTTGTTGTTTAAAAAAATTATTAGAAATAAAAAACAAACCCTCCTTTTCCCGACTCCCAAAGAACCCACACCTTCTGTACAGTGGGCGACCAATTCCCATATCTCCCGATTCCGCCTTTCCGATCTACAGAACCCACTGAACAGACGCTGGCGAACGACAGTCGAGTTCCCCTCTATCTCCCTTCGCAGAACGACGACTGATTTCCCCTCTCTCACCGTCCTGAACCCGCTGAGCGGCATGTCGGCGGGAGACCTAACCTACTGAACAGTCACCGACCATTTCCATATCCTCGATTCCGCCTCTCCCACCTCCCAACCCACTGACCCGAAGCTGACGAACGACGCTCCGGACGACGACGAATGGCGCCCTGCACGAGGCCCAATTTCCCCTCTCTCACCTTCTCCTTCCATAACAGGAGACAACGACGGCAAGACCGGCCGCCATGAGTTTGGTTGGCGATGAAGGGAGATTGGAACCACCAATAGCCTCGATTCCTTCACTAGCACCGTCGCCGTCTTAGAAAGGGAGAACCAAGCTCCATGAAACACGGTGAGTCTTTCATTCCTATGGCTGCCCAATTCTTCCAATAGGGTTCCTTCTTCGGATTTTTGTCGGTTCTAATGAAGAGGAGCATTGTCGAATCTCATGGGGGGTGCATTAAAGAAATGTTCAGGACATCGAACCTTTTGAAGGACGATTCCATGAAAGTGTAAGATGAAATTCAATTTGTTGTTTTGTTCTTTCTTGATTACTTACAAATTTTCTACAACTGTGATGTAATGCGCATATCTCCGAGTTTTCAATTCATATCTTACTGCTAAAATATGTTGGTGACACGCCAAATTCATGATAAGTAATAAATCAATTAGTTTTGATTTAACCCATGCAACAAGTTGGGGTTGTTGGTGTTCTTTGAGTCAATTTCATTTGGTAAAAGCTTGGCATCAGATATTCAGTTGAGGAACAAATCAATTAATTCTCATCCTCAACCGTATTGGTTCAAATGGTCAGAAACAAAGTATCATTGTTCTACTTGGATTGTCATGTTTTGGCGAAGAGTCTCTAAGTATTCATTTTTACTTTAATTTAGCTTCCAATTTTCCTATATGGATGCTTCTATTGATATATTTGTAATAGTTCTTATAGCTTTGAAGCCTTCTTGGAGAACTGAAGATACATTTAGGCACACTTGATTTGTCAGGTTCGTTACACCTCTTTTCTGTGTAGGAAGATAGATGTTTAGAACCAAAATTCACTGCTTCATGTCTTTGTTGTATCATAACATGGCCTTGGGCTAACTAGATATATAGATGGATGCTTTATAAGCATCATTGCTCTGATTTCTCAGCTGAATGCATACGTTTTGGTGCAGAATGATGGATGTATGCTTGAGGCCTTTTCTGCCATTGTTTTCGGTGTCATTCTATTAAGGTCTTCTCATATATGATTCAATTCTTTGATATTAGAGCCTTTAGAGTAGTTGTCCAATTACCTTAACTTAGCAACATGATTTAATGTGTATTGGTGGTTTTGACACGTCAAAATCATAGGGTAGAAGAGCCATATAACATAACATGAGTATTGTCTCAAAGTTACATCTTCAAGCACGCCCTTTTGCAATGGAGTTGAGTTAGAGGAGACCAGATTCATACAACCGAGAAGTTTACTTTACGTAGGACGCAAGTCTGCTCTTTGGAGGAGAAGGAACCATGGCGATGCTGAGGCTACATGGAACCCCAGTACCAATGTGGAAGTTCGCAAAGTGTAATTCCCCGAACTACTTGCATATGCTTTTGGACTTCTAATTTATACGGTACTCATTTCCATTTTCTCTTCCACTAAGATAACTATGAAGTTATTCTATTTGAAGGACTGAACTCTATGATAACATACCATAAAACTAAGTGGCCATGTGTTTCTCTTTTGCTTAGATCTTTTATTGTACCGTGTATGGATCCATTCAAATGTTCAAATGACAAGCTCTTGCACGTCCTATCCTTTTCGTTGCTTTTTCAGACTCCATGGAGCCTTACCCTTCCCAGATCCTCCCCTGTTCGTGGCAGTTTGTTTCCTCTCTTAATTTGTGGACATCAATGCATATATGGATGCTTAGAATGGGCGATGTTTGACTAATCTAAGCTGTGCCAATGTGAATAACAGGGGACAAGAGGATGGTGAATTGGTGATAGATCTGAAGCGCAGCTGATTGGTGATTCTTATTGGATGTCGCTATGGGGTCAAGTGAGGTTGTAATCCACTTTTACGATGAATTAAAAGTGCTTTATTACCGAGTACCAGCACCCACTGAATTAAAAGCATAAGCTGTTTTATGTTGTATGGAAATGAGATTATAATTGTAATATGCAGCAAAATGACAATGAATTGTGCATTTGTGCACGATGCCACGATCCACATGGTGTTTGTGAGTCAATTATGCAACGGACTGATAACACTTTACTTTGTCTACCATAGCCAAACAATGACTCTCAACATTCTTTCCTTTAGTTTGTCTTTACTCTTTATCTTGCGTAGAACTTGATCTCCATTTCAGTATATTGAGGTTTTATTACTTCATTATCTTGATTTTTTTAATAATCACAAATTAATAGTATTATATTCTTCAAGCTCATCAATTCCACAAATAAAATTTATTTATTCATTACCAATTTCAATTGCCGCAGCGCAGCGCGGGATACATAGCTAGTACAGAATAATGAAACAAAATAATCAAGACGGATTGCCTGAATATCCAGGTGGTCAGATGAGCGTAAAGTAAGTTTGAAGCACTCACTCCAAGTAAGTCAAACTTTCCCATTTCGGCCAATTTTTTTATCAATTTTTTTATCAGTTTGATATGTTTTGAACAGATCCTCAACTTACAACTATATCTCTGATTTGATGAATTCCAACCCGAGAAAGTGACCATTTCGATTTGATTCGAATTTACCGGACCAAATACCCATTTACTATACAATACCTTCCGATTTCAAACCACAACAAATATTTCACACTGCCAACTCATTTATATATAATACACTTCGTACGTCAGTTCCAACAATCCAAACATATTCACGGGTCTAGCAAACAATTATTTTCCTCATTGCCAATGCCACCCTATATACAAAGAGGTTTCCTTCATCCTTTGTTAACCAGGTTGTGATGAAAACAAGCAAAATGTCCACAGAGGGTTAGTACTTAGTACAAGCTACCATCAGAATTTAATATCTCACCTACCAATAATAATTCCAGTAATACATATAAAACCATACAATGGCTACACAATTATCAATCGGAACACTACCACACCAATTTCTTCCCCCAACAATTTAAACAAATAGGGGTAGTAGTAGAAGTATGCGACAGCCAGTCACAGAGAGAACAGGCGCACATATATATATATATATGTTGAAAGAAATCAATAGCCCCACTACAGAGAGGAGGAATAATAAGAAGCAGAAGAAGAAACCTCATTATCAGTCCCACCATCGCTAACTGCTTGCCAGATCAACCACCGCCTCCTCCACCAGCTCTTCCAGCAACTTCCCTTCTATTTCCTTCCCTACACTCTCCACCTCCGTCGCCAGCCCATCAATCCACCCTTTCCCCGCCACCTCCTTCCTTACCACCCTCTCCACCACACTGCTCCCGCTGTCGCCTTCCTCCTCATCATCCCTCCTCCCGACCCACTCCCTCAACCGGGACAACACATTCTCCACCGCCTCCATGGCCGGTAGTGACTCACGCCCAGCAGCAGTGGGCCCATGACTCGTGATAATAATGTCACTGAGTGCCAAGTTGAGACAGTCAAACACAAGTTTCCTGCTTGATCTTATCTGTCTCCTCTTTGCTTCGTGCACGACTGCAACTTCCTTGTCCGTCTCGCTGGCAAGCTTGTCTCTCAGCGATGGGTCCAGTGGGCTCTGCGGCGAATGCCATCTTGGGAAATTCGAGTCCTCCATTTCCATCTGAGACTGCCCGCCCAAGCCAGCTACCGACAGTAGCGTGTCCATGAAGGAAAGCAAATCCCTCTCTTCTTCCTCCGCGCTCGAGGGTTTTAGCGAGTAGGAGGATGATGATGATGCAGTAGTCTCTGCACAGGAGGAGTCATCCCAGGAGAGCGTCCGAGCGATCGATTCGATGGGTGGTGACTTGTCGATCAAGTTAGACTTGGAGAGAAGTTCTGGTCCTGCCACATTCCCAAAATGGTGCAACGGGTTTCAGCTGGAAGGACAAAAGCGGGGGGAGCCTGGTACAGTATTAAGATTTGAGAGAATTTACCGCGCCGGTCTAGCTTTATGCTAGCACAAAGCTCTGGAATGTTGAGGTCATCCTCGTCGAATTGTGCTTCCAATACTGAGATTGGGCTGGGCTGATCTTGGTTCTCGCTCGTACTCCGTGCAATTTCTGGCTTAGCAACTGTCAAGACTCCCTGCAATTCCACGGTTAAATGTTACGTCAAGATTCATTAATTTCACATGTTAAAGAGAATGCTGAATTTCGAAGAATTTAGCATTTGCAGCAATAAGATTCGTCCAAGGCAATAGCCTTTGTAACTATGTGAAGAACACAAAAGCAAAGCTTATTAGGGAAGCGATTTAACCAATGATGAATTCAATTGAGTGACTTGCTAGGAGTTTCAGATGTGACAAAAAAAAACTTCCAAGGAGCACCCCCAGCAAATTAATTTGGCTATTTGGGGGTACAATGAGCACCAAACCAAACAGCACAACAAGTAAATAGAAAGCAGATTGTTATTACCTCATGAGAAGCAACGCCTTGTTTCAAACTCTCACATGATCCATCTAAACTGGGAGAGCAACACTGTTCCATGCCAGTTTTGTGAATGCATGAAGATCGATGGCTGCCAGTTTGTCCAGGACGAGGCAATGGCACTTCTGTGGTGACAGATTGAGATGCACTGTTTTGATCTTTTGGTTTCTTGTTCTTCGAGAAAAATAAGCTGGAAACTTTTCCTTTTAAGGATGATTTCATACTCTTTGTCCTGGTCAACTCCTTGGGGAGTTCAACTTTGACGGCCTCAGAATCAGAAATTTCAACATTGAGCCGGACGCCATATATTGAAGACGAGACAGGAAGAGATTTAGACCTCAGAAGACTTCTAGGAGACTGGTCGATGCCATCTTCCCTAGTCTGGTTACAAGCTAAAGAGGAAGTTGATGCCTCGAGCTCTTGTTCATTTTTATCAGGCTCTTCCTTAGACACCACTGGCTTTTTTGTATCAGAGAGAGCAAGCATCTCACCCAAAGTACTTGAGCTTCTTCGTGCGTTGTTCTCCTGCTGTAAACTCATATTTGAGGACATTAGGGCCCATCTTTCAGACAGCCGCTTCTTTGCTTCCCTGCACACAGATGACTCTGGAGTGCAAGATGCACGACTGAATGATGAGGAAGAGTATGGGCTACCAAACCTATTTACATAGTCCCATGAATGTCTTGAAATAGGGGAAGCTATTTCTGAATCGCTAAGATTTCCAGTTGGGTCCTCAATTTCCGATTTGTCGAATGAACTGTCATCGCCAATGTAACCATTTGAGAATACATCAGACGACAAGAGTGTTTCATCCCTCTGACGACCCACCAGATCTTTGCACATCTGCATTGCGATTTCACTTGCAACATCTCTAGATTCTTGTGCCTCGTGATCTTCAGCTTCACCATTAAGCTCTTCTCCCCTTGGTGTTGGCAATGGTGGTGAAATTACGGCTTTAATATCGTAAGTCCTTGCTGGACTAGGCTTCAGTACTACTATCCTGGTTGGTTGCACAGAAGAATATTCATCATTTGAAAATGTGGGAGAGCATCCAAAGTTATTATTGTCCCAAGCAGCAGTGGCCTGATTCATCTGTGCAGGTTCTGTGGTCTTCTTATCAACCTTCTTTTCTAACCCTGCCATTTTATCACTTGCAGCCACCTTGGAAGACGGTCTAAGAACAGTTATGCGCTTTGTCTCAGGAGGTGGAGGAACAGACAGCATATCATAGAGATGTTGAGAGAAAATTGAATTTGGTTCCTGGAAAAACTTCAGTAATAAATCTCTGTTGGAGCTTAAGATGTCCAATGCTTCTTGAAATTCTTTGGACTTACGGCCCTTTTCATCAGTAGCCAGAAATTTGAGTTCCATGAATTTCTGCCGAATGAGAGCCATCTTTCTGTCATTCATATTTCCATCTGGCCTTCTCTTCTGGGGTGAGCCATCTCTGAGTTCTTTGGTCAGACACTGCTGCCACACTTCATATGTAGTATCTTTGCACTCATTCTGTTCAGGACAATGGTGGACCGAACATTGCATTTCCTTGTCCGAAAAATTCTGATCTGACTCCCAACATTCCAGTAGAATTCCCGAGTGACTCAATGACCGTCTCGAGTAACCCTTTGTGTGACTTGTTAGTGCTCCTGAGTCAGGCTGCTGATGTGGAAGGGCATCAAGGCCCATCAACTTAGCAACCAGATTTGGTGGCTTTTGATTGCTATCTACTTCTCTGGACAACTCTTGAGCTATAAGGGTTTTCATCGGTGTTCCACTTGCCTTTTTATTTGAGGAGCTTCTCTGAAACTCCGACACTATCTGCATGTCCGGTACAAAGAGCAAGGCAGATCAAGACAAGAAACAAGGTATATAATAATGGAGAGGTGTTTGAGTGTGCAGATTAGAGACAATGCCTGCAAAACAAGGTGCACACTGATCTGTAGCCAGAATCACCAATAAACAAAGAATCTTCCTTACTTACCATTTTGTCCTCGATCTGATCTCCAAAGGGTGCACCCATCATCCTCACTACGTCTGACTGACTCCTTGACAGTGAAGAACCTGCCAAACCATTACCCCCGTGTCAGCAACAGCTGGCTTCATACGATAAATCTAATATAACACAA